TATATTATATATAAGGACCCTTGATCCTCACCTGACTATGGCTTTGTAAACGTTATCTGGTTTGTAATGGACTGTGACAACAGAATCAGTGACAATGTTACACACTCTTGGCTTATTATGGCTATTCTCTGCTGTCTCAGATGACACCAGCAAAATAGCTAAACCAAAAATGAAGAAAATACATTTTACAAAAAGGGGGGATTAATGTTATTTTAGTGGAGGTGGAGCTCTATAAACATATTATTTTTAGTAGGTTTAAGGGCAGTCATTCAAATAAACCAAATCAAAAACTCTGCACATATTGCTACAAAACGGACTGCAACTAGGGGCATTAAAAGATCAGGGAAGGAGGTCAGGAAGAAGTGGCAAGACTTTGCCAGCCTTGCTAAAAGGAAAAGGGCAATGCAGAGGACAACATTTAATAAAACAGGTGGTGGGACCAATGATTCCACCCTTCTTGCAGCAGAGGAAGAAAAGGCCTTGTCACTACTAGGCAAAACTGCTTCAGATGGCATTTGTGGTGGTATTGGCATGCATTGAGGAGTAGGGATACTCAACTTCAGCCTGAGTCAGATCCTTTATGCTCAGAGGAACTATCCGTTTAATCTGGCATCCCCCAGCACATCCCCTATTCCTCCAAACAACCCTACCAGGCCTCAGCCTCTATCTTCAGTTGTCCAGACTGCAGCCACAACATCTCAGGAGTTTGAGAATGTTTGTTAGTCAGGACATATGAGAGTGTCCATACTTAACAGGGAGGAAGATGAAGAGGTGGTGGAGGAGGAAAAGGACAAAAGATGGCATGGGACCACATGATGGCCAACCAAGAAATAGGCTACATGGGTGGTTTTTGTGCACATCAGCAGATTTTGACAGATTTTTTTTAGTTCATCATTATATTTGCCCAATCTTTGAAGCATTTTACATCTTTTATTATTAGTTTTTTGTTCATTCATTTTATTTAAATTTAAATTATTATATAATTTCTTTTTTTGTTGTTTTCTGCCCTTTTTAACTATTTTATTTCTAAATTAATTAAAACAAAAACGAGTAATAAAGTGTACAATAAAGTACAATCAAAAACTCATATTATAATCACAACAATCACATCGGACTTGAATGAAGTTAAAGGTGTAATCTGCCGGTTGTCCTGCAGGTGACCTCATAACTATGTCTTCTTACGATGCACTTAGGGATTTACGATTGCTCCAGAGCACCCGTAGAGCTACGATGATTTTCAAGTGCTACTTAAATTATGATGCTTTTGGGAAATGCACCGTAATATTAAGATGAGTTGTACGGAAGAAGTGATCGGTCTAACATATTTGTAACACGGAGTAGGCTTTGCAGCCTTGGCTAGATAAAGTTTACACAAGACTACTGATCTGAGATGTCATCGCTTTGCTGCAGAATTTCAACGGCATCAACATTGATTCCATGTTATAATATTAGATCTAGAGTCTGATTTACGACAATACAACAATTGGGTCCTGACACTGTCCTCTGATTTATCTGACATCAGTGGTGTGAGACAGCTAGCAGGTGGTTGGTTTAGCCAGTCTTTCTGCTTCCTGACCTGAGCCCTTGATTGTCTTGCTTGAGCTCTAAGACTTTCCCAGATAGCAAACTGACATTGAATCAACGTGGAAACGACGTCTCTCATGACATTGAAACAACGTTGATTTTGCTCATCGAATTAACGTTGAACCAACGTCAGACGCGGCATTCTTCAAAGCTAAATGAAAATCGAAAATTGGTTTGCTTTCATAACGTTGAAACAACGCGTTGATTTCAAGTTGATTTTCCGTTAGTTTTGAAAGAATGACGCGTCTGACGTTGGTTCAACGTTAATTCGATGAGCAAAACAATGTCAGATCAACGTTGTTTCGATGTCATATTTCCACGTTGATTCAATGTCAGTTTGCTATCTGGGTGGTGTCTCTATTTTCACGTTCCGTGTAATAGAATCACTAATATCTAGGGGACTTTCTACAGGATTCAACAGTGGGTGTTTCACTGAGAAGGGGGAACCTGTTTGATGTTGTAATCAGAACAGATGAGTGGTGTTTTGCCCGCTCGTCTATAGGGAACGAAAGTAATCAATGATTCAAAACAGAAAGATATACAAAGCTTACAGATGCAAACTAACTCAGCAGCAGCAGCAATCCTGTCAATACAAATTAAAATCACTTGCATTTACACAGAATGTATCATGTGTGTGTAATGTATGCATTTAAACTGCAATTAAAACCGCAATAAATAGGTGAATGATTTGAATTAATCAAGCTGCTTTTTTATTGAATTTAAAATAAATATTTTATTTAAATATTTTATTTAAATATGAAATAAAAAAGCCTGTAGGTGGTGGCAAGTGACTACAAGTGTCCGAATATGACTACTTTAGTAGGCGAAAAGCAGTATGTGTGCAGAATAGATTTCAATTAGAATTTTTGAATTCACAGTATTCATCAAACAGTAAGCAAAAACTACTAGTAAACTACACAGTAAGCAAAAACTACTAAGTAAATGACCCATTACTGTCGGGGAAATTCTGAAGTGTGCATCTGATGAACAAACTTTCCAATGAAAGTTTCTATCATGAAGCCACAAGAAGATTTGTGATTGGCGGTGAAGCAATGTAACTGATGCCCTAGGTCACATGACTGTGACAACAGATGTATTACATCCAAACATTCATTTATAGAATTACCTTTTTTGACGGTCACAAATGTAATACTTACAGTAAGTGATTTTGGACACGCTGACTGACTTAATGAGTGAGTTGAGTCACCCATTCAAGGGAATGGTTGTAACAGCTGATTCATATAATAATGAAAATTATTATGAAATTATTTTGACATGTATGCAAAATATATAAAATTCTGATGCATTATTTATAGGTCATCAAATGTTAGTAAATTTGTACCATTGAGCACTGTAACAGAGCTGGCTGAAACTATTTTATTTTTAATATTTTATTTTCTATTCTCAAAAACATACATGGAAAACATACAACTGACATGGAGAAAAAAAAGAAACTCAATGGAAACCAAGGAAAAATGTCAAACATAGGGAAAACTGAGTACAGTTGTAGCAATTTTTGAGAAAAAAAAAAAAGACTGAATGAACATGATTTTTTTACATATGAGATCAATTTATCAGTCTACAACCAAAATGTATGTCAAAAACCTACATTTATAGTTCATATTTAACACAACTAATGCTTGAAAAAGCACTTAAGTTACATCTGTCAGTTGGAACACCCCAGGACTTTATGCTATTATTCAACGCATTCTCACCCCAAGGCGTCACCTTTGACCATGCTTCAATATTTTACATTTTAGCGTCAGTTACATGACGCGATCCTACGGCGTCATCGAACTGACGCTAAAGGAAAGCGTCAGGTGGATGATCGCGGTTAGGTTTAGGTCTGGGGTGGGGGTAAGGTACACGCGATCCTAGGGCGTCATCTAACTGACGCTAAAGGGCGCCTAAAGCGTCAGATATTGAAGCATGTTCAAAATGCTTCCCAAGGCGTCAGTTAGGAGACGCCTTGGGGGTGAGAATGGGCTGTATTATTCATGTTTTTAAATAATTGAACGACAATCTCACACAAAACTAAATATCTACACAATTATTTTGTTACTAACTTGGCAAATTAGTTAAGTAGATAATGATAGACTGAAAAAGTGTTTTCCAGTTTTGTATGCAATATGCATCAGATTGTCATAGTGAGACAGACTGAGCTGAGACTTCTTCTCCATACTGTATCCCTTGCTCCAAATTAAAACGAAAAATTGGACAGGGTTCCACCTCCCCAAAATTGCTGGTGTTTACTGATGATTAGGCAATTATATAATTTGACGAGTCTCTTCTGTTCAGTGAAGACTTTTAAAACTTTTAAAACCCAGACATTTCAGCCAATTCCTCAGCCCATGACATAAAATGTATTTTGGCATTCAATGTCTGGGAAAACCCACTATTCCACAATTGATGAAGCCATGAGTGGTGAAATGTCTTTAATAATCAGAAATGTTCGTATAGTTTTATAAATACATTCTATTCATGGACGACCTGCATAACTTCCAGTCTTTTTTGCAGTCTTGTATGCAAGGACACATGACACGCGTGACGTCACCGTCGGCCGGAGTGCCTGCAGTTCCTCACAGTGAGTGGCAAAAAGACTGAGAGGCTGTATATGTGTTCAGCGTGAATGCCGCGAAAAACAAACACAACACACACAAATAAAGTGGGAAAGAGCTTTGCGATTGACTGTAGGCCTACAACTAGATTTGACAAAACATCGGAGGTATATTTTTACAGACTCCTATAGAAAGAGGAGCAAATGGATCCCAGCAATTCACAGAAACAACTGGACTCCAGTCAGCGAAAGGTGGATTTGCAGTTATCATTTTGTGTCAATATGCTGAATTTAGCTGTAAAACCATACCCATATAATTTGTATTGTTATATACATTAACAACTCATCAATTAAATATTTATCATTGCATATTCTGCATTATTGGATGTTTTTTTAATAAACACTGACCAAAAAAACGTATAAAGTTTTACGGCTGGACAATATGATATATATATAGGTTATATATAACACTGATTTAAGTGGTCACCCGGATTTAGACCTACCTATATATTTATATAAAGCGTTCACAGGCAAATTTGCTTTATGTTTAGGTCTCGGTGTCCCCGGTGTCGAAATCAGGCAAATATAAATTGTCAGGCAACACGATTCCTGGCTGCATGTCAATATCCATGGATCACTGGATCTTTAGTTAGTTGTAAGGAACACTATATTGAGTCCAACATTTAGTTTAAATTGAAAAAAATTGCAGATCTTTTGCCACTCGGTCAGGCTGAGGGGGGTTGTTCCGGCGGGAAAGTCACGTGTCAATGCATTCCCTCTATAACATGTTGTTTTAATATGAGCTGTGATTTCCCAATGAATAAAGCTGCTTTCTAAAGATGCGAAAAGAAAAACAACAAATTGTCGACATATTTTAATAGGCATTGCTTTTCAATTAAGCCCATCATATTTATAGATTTAAAATGCAATTAATTGAGAACAAGGGCTATTTTTGGTAAAAGCAGTGTCATTTTTCATGATGAGTCTTGTTCTTAATAAACAACTGTCTGACCATCTGATAATTGTATAATGTTATGCTTGTAGGGCTATGATGCTGTAATCATATCTGCTGATTGTCTGTACTCTCCTGACTAACTTGGCCAGTCTTAATGTCCTTGAGTTTTGTCGTTTCATCTCCTCTATGGTCCACAGCGGCTGCAGGTGGGATGACGGTTTCTTCCGTAGTTCGTACCACCACAAATCTAGAGCAGTCATTAGAACTATCCCCAACTATCTCTGTTGTGTTTGTACTTAATTTGTCATGCGATTTCACATTTAAAGTCGCTTCATCAGCCTTTTCGTTCTCTAGGCTGGTCTTCTCTAATTTACCTGAACCTTTATTTGCATTTTCATCTAAAGCTGTTTCATCAGTGGGGGACAGTGCAACGGAGCTCAAGCCTTCTCCCAGAGAGACAGATAACTGATCCGGTGTGCTTGACCCCTCCTTGTCGTCCTCAATCACGTCTGCTACCCCTTTGGTATCCACAGGATCAGCACCCTTAAAAAAGCTAAGCAATGTGACACTCTTCTTCCGTTTGCCAACATTCAGGACTTTGCCGTTGGTTGCTCCAGAGTCTTTGAACATATTACGGATGTTGTATTCCTCCTGAGGTTTTTTGGAAGTGTCTTTAAATCCCGTCTTGCTATCAGAGAGCGTTGTGTCATTGGACGTGTTTCCTGGCTTAGAGGCAGAAAGATTGATCGAACCTTGCAGGCTGTTTCTCTTCTCCATGTGGGTGACACGAAACCTGTGAATTTAGGTAAGTATTTGTTAAGTTAGTTTGGGTGTATTCTGTACATATTGTAAATAGCACAAATCTTAATTCTAGTCTTATCTTCCATCCAAAGCAGCTTCACAGTAACAACAGTGATTCAGAATTTATCAGCTATGAAATGACTTTTCTCATTATTCAGTTGAAATCAATTCAAATGTTGTTAGCATCTGATATCAGTACAGTCAAATTGATTGCTAGATATTAAATGTCTTTTAAATCCCAAGTAAACAAGCTAAAGCCTGCAGTCGCACTGACCCCAAATTCTATCAAGTAATAGAATGGAGGAAAAAAAAACAAGGTCAGTCGGTGGGCCAGTTCTCCTCTGGTCTTTGTAGGGAAGGGAAACATGTTATTAGTTTTGCCAACACTGTAATTTAGGGTCCAATTCTCACTATTAACTAGTTGCTTATTAGCATGCATACTAGGATACTGGCTGTTTATTGGTCCTTATAAAGCACATTTTAATGCTTTTTTCTGCACGACCATATTCTACATCCTTTAATCCTACCCAATACCTAAATTTAACATGAATGAGTAGTAATCACTAGTTTATTAAAGAAAAAGTCGCAGTTACAGTAATAGTTAGTTAATAGTGAGAACTGAACACTAAACTAACGTGTGATCTTAATTTTCGAATTTTACTTAATCCCCTTTGGGGTCCTTGAGATATTCTGACATGCCCTGATATTTGTACTTTTTTTCAGTTGCTTATAAACATATTAATGGCACAGGTGAAATTACACTCTTTTTAGCACAAACAGGGCTACCATAATATGTGAGCAACATGTATGTACATGTTTGTATTTTTGAGAGAATATTGTTCGTGCGTGGTTATTGAAAAAATTAAAAATGAAAGTTTATGAAATAAGGCCACAAAACACGAAATATGGGTCCACAAGACTTTTGACTAATTGATGTTGTTGCCTAGAGTTTTTTCTTCACAATGATCTGAAAATCATCCTCCTAATCGTTCACATAAAACTGTGAATTGGGTTGTATTGTTAAAAAAAAAACATTTTTTGTTTGCCAAGGCAATATGCGAATGGACGTGAACAGGCCAGCCCTCACCATTATCTTTATCGCAGATACTCTTATTTTGTCATCCAAATAATACTGTATTTGAAAAATGTTTAGCATACATGGGAACTCCTGTAAGGACTTTAACATTATTCTAAATGCGGAACAGTAATAAAGAATGAGTGTGTCCATTACTGTAACTTTTTGACTGGTATATAATAACAGATAACAGATCCTCACCTTCCCACAGAAAACACAGTCTGCTCCGCTAGCCGAGCTTTGCTTCTAGCCACACGGCTTTTGCGCCGTGTTTTTAATAAACGTTCTTGCATACAGTGGACACAAGAGCTGATTTCACCACCCAGATGAACTGTATGATGGTGAAGGGGAAGACCACTTGCACCATCTTTCTGAGGTAACCTGGTCAGAAAACATGTTTTTTTTTTTTAATTTTTGGTAAACTGTAACATTTTTTGTCAAATTACATTTGGATTAGTTCAGAGGTCATTGGCCCCACATACGTACCTCACGATGCAGGACAAGTAAAGCAATGTAAACTAATTTACACATCTACATTGCTTTACTTGTCCTGCATCATTGTGAGGTATGTACTAAAAGAAATTAGTCTTTTATACTTTACAAACTAAAATATCTGAAAACAAACAGGAAGATCTTAAATAATCTCAATGTTAGCAGTTCACATCATATCATAAAACATATTAATACAAAGTTTATATCTCCTCTTTGAGTCAAATATTATTATACTAACACACTATAGAGAAAAAGATATATCCAAAAATAACAAATGTAATGATTATACCGTGGATCTTGATGTTCACAAACGTTTTGCCCAGTAAACATGTCTTTGAAGGCCTCCATATTGGCTGTGACAAAAATAGCAAAACAAGTGGAGAAAATTGTTTAAATACATGACCAATACAATAGTAAATACTGCAGAACAGAACAGAACAAATTGTTTGTACCTTCATTTTCAATGATGCATTTCAGAATCTGTTCCACAGTGTCTTGGCTGTCTTCTGATTCATCTGGACAAAAAACAGTTTTCTAATTTTATGGTAAACATAATTATGGTAATGACAATAATGTCATTACAAATTTGATGAACAAACCAAATTCTTACTGTGTTTTTGTTCAGTTTAAAGGGGCTATTTGTAAGAATGTATTAATACATGTTTGTATTGCCAATGTGAACAGCTTAGTACTGTCAAAAAGTATTTATATCCTTACATTGACACTTTAATACAACACTTTATTGTTATATTAAAGTGTAAAATGAGTATTATGTGCAATCTTGCTACTCGGTTTGCAATCTCTTGTCTTATGGCAGTGTCTATTTAATTGTCTATTTAAACAGTGCAAATAGCATTGTTGGCAAAGGTTATTGTTACTAACTTTTCCCACTATTTCTCATATAGTCTACATTTAGTGCAATATGTTCTTGCTATTTATTCTTGTGCAAACACCATCTACCTTTTTTACACCACCATGTTTTATTAAGGTCAAGAATTGTCGCCTATGTACTGTGTTTTATTTCTTGAGAAAGTGATCCTCTCTCTTTGCACTGATCTTTTTAAATAAGTCTATTACTATAATATAGCAGTTACGGTAGGCAGACATTTGTGTGTGTGTCTGGGTGGGTCGTCTATTGAAAAATAATGCTTATTTTTGGACCATATGAGTAGATTATACAGGAAAATAATAATAAAAAAGTGATGGTGAGGGTTTTAAGAATGACTATGTATGAGGCCAGGAATTTGGAAATGAATAAAACCTCCATGGTATAAAGACACAAGAAATAAAAAGATAAGAAACTATATTTAAACAGTATGGATTTGGGGTAACAATTTATTACCATATTTTGTATAAAGCATATGCATATTTTTGTAAAAACAAAGGCTGAAATGACTTGCCATCTTTGTCTGTCCCCGGTTTGTCTTCACAGTTTACTTGATCCTCTTCCAGTTCACAGCGGTAGCCCTTCGTCTTCAATAAGTGACAGATTAAGAAACCCAGGAGGCCAGTGATGAAGAAGAAAAAGACAAGGAGGAAGATTATGTATGTTGGAGGGGGATCACCCACATTGGGTATCTCTTCGTCTGTCATCCCACTGTCTTCTTTGCAAAGGCAGTTGGCTGCAAATTGGACAAAAGGATGCCAGTTACATTTATACAGCACGTAATGCTCACACAACCTAAAACTATTTTCTCTCCAGCATTGAGAAAGTTGTATTTGTCACGCCATCTGACTCTCTTGGCTTAGAGAGATAATCAGCCACTCAGATCCATCAGGGTATATTTCCTGTCAGCGAGTACCTTTATCTTGCCATCCAGGCATGTGGTGAGAGGAGCTTGGCCCACACACCCTCTGTTTTCACTCAGAAACTGATATATGTTGCAACTTCAACAGCCTGCAACACATTTCTCATTCTGTTGGCAACTGGATTGATATAGGGTTTTCCAGTTTATTCCAGTTTCTATGTGATGTGTTTGTCAAATGTATCACCAAATCTCCCTGCATTATAAAATTCTAGCATAAAAAGTTCACCCATAAACATACCAGTCAGAGGGGTGTAAGGGAATCATACAAAAATTCTATATCCTATGAGGTTGTGTAGGGGTCAACAAATTAAAGGTCTGTTTTTCACAGCAGCATAAAAGGAGGGCAACAGTATGACTGCAACACCATTGAAAGAAATTCTTCTGTTGTATTCTGTATTTCCTTTAATAATGGCTATTGTTATTCTTTGTTCACCCATTGATAACTGTTACAAATGTAATCAACATAACAAATATAGTTGCTTAAACGGTTCTAATTCAGTCAGATTTACCAGGGGCGCAACTACCCAGTTTCAGAGGGGTATGCAGCAACAATTTTAGCGCCCCCCCCCCCCCCCCTATTTTTTTATTTTAAAAAAATAAGTGCAAAATTGTCGTTTATTAACACAATTAAACTATAGCTACTCCACCTTGATGAACCCCCCCTAAGAAAACTAAGCTCCATTGTAACAGCAATAGCAGTGTTTCTCACAGGATTTTAGGTAAAACTGTGGTAGGTGGACCTCTGTTTCTCTAGGGGGGTTCGGGGGCATGCTCCCCCGTAAGAAAATTTTGTGTTCTGTAATGTTAAATTCAGCAGTCTGGTGCACTTTGAGAGTTCAAAATTAAAAGCTCCAACCCATATTCAGGGTGCAAATTGAACAAAGAAAAATTTGAACCTCTTTTAGTTAGTGTCTGTCTACATTACACTACTACATAATAATAGTTATAATATTAATCCCATGATAGTAATTGCCATTAAGGCTATTGTAAAACAAATGCACAGAAAAATAAAGGAAACTTTCATAATTAGTTTTGCACTAATTTCTATACTTGAAAGATACTTGCGCATAATGATATATTTCATGGGCCAGTGTGTCAGAAAAAAAAACTAAAGCTGACTTTTTTGACCAATGCATTACACCAGCACAGCGCTGCCAATTAGGCCTAAGCAAAAAACAAAACAAAAACAAACAACAAACAAACAAATGGGCCGCCGATGTATGAGTTTTGTGGGCCGTTAAGACAAATAAATTAAAAAAGGAAAAAGCACGTCGGCCCAGCGGGAATCTCCCGGTAGTCCCGATGGCCACCGAGATATAGATAGCCTATGCCTGGATGTCACATTTTAAATCCTACCTGTTGGCTTTCAGCAATGCATGCAGTTATTTAGCTGCTGTTGCATCAATTGACATGCCATCTCCTTTTCTCTCTTTCTTTTTCTATTTTTAGCCCCACAGCATTTTGTTTTATCCATCTTTTTCGACGACAACTAACTACTCGTACCTGCTCGCTCAGCGCTCACGGCGCCCCCGCCCGGTCGCGATATTACCCGCCCCCCTTCTCCATGAGGGCGCCTACTCTAGCCTGGCTGTTAGTCCTCTAAAATTTTATATAACATTGAAGGAATGCAGAAATGATTTAGAAACGGACAACGGCAGCTACATCTAGAAATACAATATAGCCTATATATATATATATATATATATATTTTTTTTTTTACCATCGCTTTGGCGCCCCCCATTGTGCTGCGCCCCTATGCGCCGCATATAGCGCATACCCACTTTTTGCGCCACTGAGATTTACTGAGTGCTTGCTTCAAGCCTGACAGATGTCTTTTTACCGCTTTATTTTATGTTTCTCCATTATGGCTACGTTGCAAAAGATAAAATAACAAATATTAATAACAAAAAGAGTAGTGAATAATAAGTAGGGTTGGGTATCGAGAATCGAGTATCGATTGGAATCGGGACTAACTTTTCGTTTTTTCCGGAATCGTTCAAAAGTTAAAATTTCGATTCCTAGTTTCGATATTCACAGTCCGCCGAGCGGAAGAAGAAACCGCTGAACAACACCAACAAAGAAGCGTCTACCGGAAGTGTTGCCATAACCGCGCGTGTCGAACATGAGTACCTTACGTTGGCGATCCAAAGTGTGGCTTCACTTTTCTAAAAATAACGAAATCTCGGCAAAATGCAAAATTTGTGACAAAAGGAGTATTTGTGACAGGAGTATTTCCTTCAGAAAGGATTATTTCCTTCAGAAAGACCGTTGGTTAGCAAGGTTAGTTAAACTTTTTTGACCCTGCCTCTTAAAAGAATCGGAATCGAGAATCGTTAGGAACCGGAGTCGAAACAAGGAATCGGAATCAGAATCGTTCAAATTAAAACGATACCCAACCCTAATAATAAGAGACCCGAAACTGGCACATCTATGTGGCAAAATAGTCAATTAACCAGTTTAGTGCTCATTAATCAAAAACAATTGACCACGGAATGTGTGGCCATAGACTGTGCTACCGTCGTGCAGAGTGGTTGTAAGAACCGTAATGCTACGTTCACAACGGACGCGAATAGAGCGTCAAATTCGCGTCTACCGCGTCTAGTTTGACGCTTGACCACTTTGTGCTAATTCACGTGTCAAGAGAGAAACTGATGCACGTAAAATCAAACGTTTGAAGCGAAATTTACGCGTGTCTCGCACGTCAAAATCGGAACCTGTTGGCGGCCATCTTTTTTTATGTTGATCGAGCATTCATTGAGAGATTCACCGCTAGGGTTGGGTATCGTTTGAATTTGAACGATTCTGATTCCGATTCCTTGTTTCGATTCCGGTTTCTAACGATTCTCGATTCCGATTCTTTTAAGAGGCAGGGTCAAAAAAGTTTAGCTAACCTTGCTAACCAATGGCCTTTCTGAAGGAAATAATCCTTTCTGAAGGAAATACTCCTTCTGTAAAAATACTTCTTTTGTTGATTTCGTTATTTTTAGAAAAGTGAAGCCACACTTTGGATCGCCGACGTAAGTTACTCATGTTCGACTCGCGTGGTTATGCCAACACTTCCGGTAGACGCTTCTTCGTTGGTGTTGTTCAGCGGTTTCTTCTTCCGCTCGGCGGACTGTGAATATCGAAACTAGGAATCGAAATTTTAACTTTTGAACGATTCCGGGAAAAACGAAAAGTTAGTCTCGGTTCCAATCGATACTCGATTCTCGATACCCAACCCTATTCACCGCACTGTATTTGCTCTGGAGAGCTAGAACAGAGGCGTGGGGATCATCGTTGCCGTATTTGCTCGCTGGATGACGCAGCTCCATCAGAGGAAACAAAACCATGAAAAACCACTTCAAACAACAATAAAACAGAAAAACAAACAAAAAAAACATTAACAAACAAACTCAAAACGCGGCAGTAGATGGAAGTACTCCCACCCAGAAGGACTGTCCTCGTGCCGTAATAAGTCCAACAGGGGAGGGGCTTTAGAAGGGGGTGGCCAGGGGTGGGATAGGCAGGACAGGAAGCCAGGGAAGTGCCGTTAGCTCAGGGAGCCTGGGAGGGGCCAGCAGTGCTGGAACGGGCATCTCATGCTTCTGGGTTCTAGTTCAGAACGCTTGCTCATTATTGGCCATCTCCTGCGTCAGCACCACACACACACGTCTCATGGTGATCACATGAACAGCGTTGGCAAATAAGGAGCACGGCGTTCTGGCGTAGAACCTGGAAGCGCTGCACTGTGTTTCCAACGTGATCACCGTAGGAGACTGACACGGAAGAGAAGTTGTTGTTAAAGTCGTTATTTTTGTTTTACTTTGCGCATAAAAAGTATTCTCGTTGCTTCATAACATTAAGGTTGAACCACTGTAGTCATATGGACTACAGTATGTGTTTCAAGGCCCTTTAACTCTTTAAGACTGAAAAACAGCCCTGGACTTTGACTAGGCCCAGCCCAAAGCAATCGGCACGCGGAAACTCGACAACAACAACAATAACGCCTGCTGCCTGGCATGAGTGTCACATGACTTTAATTGTGGCTCATGATACTATACCTGTCACGGCGCGGGTGCAGGCTGAACAAACAAGGAGTCCGGGGTATCGGTAAAGATGAGGTTTTTAATATAAATCAAACAGGCAGGAAGAATGGAACACAGGCGCCACACGGGCTAACAACATACAACGACCGACCATGACAGACTGACTGAGGAGGAACTAAATACACAGGGGAATCAATCATAATGGGGTGAAAACAGGTGAAACAGATGATCAAGACGAGGAACAGGTGGCTGATGAGGGAGTGAACACGGGATAGGGTGACGAGAGGATCCTGGGAAGTGTAGTGCTGAAGACAAGACAGACTGGTGCAGACAGAGGACTGTGACAGAACTCCCCCCTCCCGGGAGGCGTGACCTCACGCCACATAACAGAGGAAGGAGGGGGGACGAACTGGGGCCTGGGCGGGGCGTGGCCAGGGCGGAGCAGGCTGAGGGCGTGGCCAGGGCGGCGCAGGCTGAGGGCGTGGCCAGGGCGGAGCAGGCTGAGGGCGTGGCCAGGGCGGCGTAGGCTGAGGGCGTGGCCAGGGCGGAGCAGGCTGAGGGCGAGACCAGGGCGGAGCAGGCTGAGGGCGTGGCCAGGGCGGAGCAGGCTGAGGGCGTGGCCCGGGCGGAGCAGGCTGAGGGCGTGGCCAGGGCGGAGCAGGCTGAGGGCAAGACCAGGGCGGAGCAGGCTGAGGGCGAGACCAGGGCGGAGCCGATGGAGGGAGGACCCCTGGTGGAGCCGATGGAATCGGGGCTGACAACACCAGGGGGCCGACTGACAGGGGCGGAGCAGATGGGAGAGGAGACCAGGGTGAAGCTGAGGGACAGATGACATATGGTGCTGAGGAGGGACCGAGGGACCATGGTGACACCGCAGGCTCAGGTGACGGAAGTGACGACAGGGGCACAGAGGGACACGGTGAGGTCAGAGGGAGTGAGGGCTGACGGGTGACTGGAGGGAGTGAGGAGTCCGACAGAACTGGGGGGGTGACATGACGGGGCGGAGCCAGAGGAAGGAAGTCCCAAGGTGAAGGGAGGATGACGAGGGAGCGAAGGGAGTCCGGAGGGTCGAGGGAGCCTGGCCGAGCTGGTGGACTGAGGGGCCATGGAGGAGCTGAGGGAGGTAGGAGTCACGGGGGAGCTGATGGGACAGAGGGCCGAGGAAGGGTCCATGTGGAGGCGGTGTGAGGCGAAAACCGGGGATACACGGACCAGGCTGGTTTAGGGGAGCTGAAGGGCAGGAGAGAAGAACGGGGACAGATGAGAGGAGGCGGGAGAGGGAGGCTGGGCGGGATCCTGGTCTCTGGCTGAACGGTCTGGACGGTCTCTGGCCGGACGGTCTGGACGGTCTCTGGCCGGACGGTCTGGACGGTCTCCGGCCGGACGGTCTGGACGGTCTCCGGCCGGACGGTCTCTGGTGCTGGCTGGACGGTCTCCGGCGCTGGCTGGACGGTCTCTGGCGCTG